GGACTTCAGTATTATAATAGAATTATCATAGAATTATCATTATCATAGTATTATCATGATAATAGCTGATACAATTCTATGATAATCCCTGTCCCATGATAATACATGATAATGCTATGATAAGACATGATCCAGCTATTATCCCTTATTCTATCATGTATCATGTATTCTATCATAGCTGGTTGGTGGTTTGGAACATGATTTTGTTATTTCTCCATATCTTGGGAATGTCATCATCCCAACTGACTAAGTCATATTTTTATATATTTTTCAGAGGGGTATAAGTCAACCACCAACCAGTAATCGTATCAGCTATGGGAAAATGGCGGCTTCTTGCCGAAGCTTCACCCAGGAGGTCCGATCCAGAGGATTGCAATTCAGAGATGCCGCCAGTCAGTCGGAAGGCGGCGGTTTGTTGGGGAGCGGTTTTTTTCGGATCGTGGATCCCATGGCCCTTTTGGATCCGGGTGGCAAAAGTGCATGCGGATTGTGCATGCTTTGTGCAACACAAGTGCCAACTTTTGTTATCTTTTGTTGTTTTTTCCTTTCCAGAATATTCATCAATTGTGTCAATCTTCCATATTTTTTTGTGATTACATCTGAAAGATCTGAAAGCCCGATACGCAGTTCAAGTCATCCTTTGTACGTCCAGGTGCCGCAGCAAGAACAATCATGAGACTTTCATCCCCAAACATCACCGAACATCTTCATCTCGGAAAGGCTGGATCAAAGCAATGCGCGCTGTACTCTAGTTTGCTACATCAGATAGGTCACATGAGCGTGTAGATTTTTTTGATTCATGGATTGGCGGTCACACCCCACTGCAGGCTATCACTTTGCTATGTGTATAGCTTCTGATCCGTGTTTTTGGATGGGGATTGTCTGAATGAACATCATGATGGTTCATTTGACGCCGGGTCACTCGTTTTCCATACCGGGTGGACTTGGGTAGTCTTTAGGCTGAATTGCGTTCGCAGCGATGTAAAGACGTTTCCAGCGCTGTGGATGCACTTCGGCAACGGTGCCCAGGTCAACAAGAGCCTGGCGGTTTTCATTTGCAAGTAACACACGCAAGTTCTGCAGACAGACGCACAAGACAACGCAATATTCAAGTTTGTTTGACACCTTAGAACCGCACAGCAAGCGGACAAAGCGCACGTTGTCATTTTCATGCTGATTGCACCCTCCATCAACATTCTCATTGGCAACAATATAAGATTGAACTTGCTGCGCGTAAGGCACCTTCATGCATGTAGATGCATGTAGATGATGCAGTTTGGGTCACCAACATAGACCAACATGCTAAGAAGTGCCGCGTGCATCGTGGGTTGAGTTGCAAGACGGGATGCGTTGACTCCTGCGAGTTCACCTACGCTGCACGCATTTTCTCGCGCCATTGCGCGTGCCGCAATGGCGCGCACAGCTAGTGATGTTTGTAAGAAAACGGCGGCTGGTGCAATGGGCATGGAAGCACCCGACTATTTTGTGTCAAATTTGGTTTGCAGATTCATTTGTGAGAGAAGGATGAAATCGATTGAAAGAAGGTGAATGTTAATCCGCATGTAAGTTGTCTGAACATGACCTGGCATGATTCCTGTTCTGAACATATCAACAACTTAAGTTTCAACCACCGATCCGGCGAAAAGACTAACAGTTCGCCCTGGAAGCCATGGCGCATAGAAATAGATGGTTTACCGAAGTGAATAGCATGGTGTTTATATATATATATTATATATGATTATATATGTAGATATGAGATACCCCCTTCATATCCCATAGGATCCATGTATGCTATATATATGGTAACATGCATCCCATCAATATACCCCCAATGTTAGCATATATACCATACATGGATCCTATGGGTATCCCTTGATCTTCCCTTCATGATCCCCTTGCTGGGCCAACTGGCTTCACGACCATCCAAAGTTGCTCAGGCCAAGGTGGATCGGCAACCGTGCGCGGGGCTGGGGAAGGGGGGGTTTTGGGGGCTCCGGGCTGCGCCTGGGGTTGACCCATGTTGACCCCAAAGTTGGCTCAGCATATTGTTGCTGCGAATTTAAGGCTGGTTTGGATCCATTGTTCTGGGTAAATTATAATTTCAGGTTAGTGAATTACTATAATTTGCCCAGATTGTTACTTGAAAAGGTATGAAAAGGTCAGGTTTCAGTGTCTGCGGGCTGAAAGAGCCTGGTTGCTCGGCATGGTCACTTCCCTTTGCCAAAGTCAACATCACGTGTGAGCCAAAGCACCGTGGTATTTCGGAGATAATTAGCAATCTCATAATCTTTCAAGGCAAAGAAACTTTGAAGTGATACCGTGATACCATTAATGTAAACCCTGGATTAATTAACCCCTAGGCTGTTTAATTGGGAAGGTACCATTTAAGTATCAAATCATGACTATTGGGGGAGTACCCCCTAATTAATAAACCATGGTTTAGCAAAATCCGGGGGGTTTTCACATTACAATCCACCACTACGTAGCCCTTTGCAATCTTTGCACATCAATTTTCTTCCCCAGGGGCTCCCAGACACATGCTGAACATATGTTTCCCATGTCGCGCACATGCTGATTGATTCCAAAAAATGGGCCTGCCCAAAAACCATGCTCAGGGAAAAGTGGCATTTATGGGAACCTTGAACTGAAGCCACCCATGCACTCTGCACAGATCCTCGCCGCTTCCCATGCCTCACCCAGACCAAATGGGGAATACAGCAGCTGGCACACATGACTTTTTGAACCATACGTGTGAAAGTTGCAGATAATTGCAGCTGCTCCAAGAGCACACACATCAGACATGCGTTGTTTTGTAATCAATTATCTGGTTTCAAAGTGGAACTAAGATGGGAGAATCTATAGCCTGATCTGTGGGTATGAATTTCGAATTTCCAAAAGCACACGGCTCAATCACTTTCCTGGTCAGAGATCTCACCAAGTTCTGCATGGCACTTTTGCCTTCAGCAGTTGTGGCTATATATGGAGAAAGACAACATTGTTCACTAAAAAAAACTTTACTTCGTGTGATCCCCACCATGACATTTATACATTGTGTTACTGGCAAATCTTCTGGCATTCTATCTGACATATCTTCTGGCATTCTATCTGGCATTCTATCTGGCATATCTTCTGGCATTCTATCTGGCATATCTTCTGGCATATTATCTACTCAAATCTTCTGGCATTCTATCTGGCAAACATTCTGGCACTTTATCTGGCATATCTTCTGACATTCTATCTGGCATTTTATCTGGCATTCTATCTGGCATACCTTCTGGCATTCTATCTGGCATATCTTCTAACATTCTATCTGGCATATCTTCTGGCACTCTATCTGGCATATCTTATGGCATTTTATCTGGCATATCTTCTCGCATTCTATCTGACATTCTATCTGGCATATCTTCTGGCATTCTATCTGGCCTTTGAGGTCCAGCGGTGCGCACTGAGCTCGGAAGGCCCCAGGTTGAGGTCCAGCGGTGCGCACTGAGCTAGGCAGGTTTCAGGTTGAGGTCCAGCAGGGCGCACTGAGCTACAGGTTGAGGTCCAGTGGTGCGCACTGAGCTGGGAAGGTCCCAGGTTGAGGTCCAGCAGTGCGCACTGAGCTCCGAAGTTGGCGAAGAGCGGAAGTGGAGGCAGAGGTGGTAGAAGAGGAGGAGGACGCGGAGGAGGAGGTGGAGGCGGAAGGAGGAGGAGGAGGAGGAGGACGAGGCGGAGGAGGAAGGAGGAGGAGGAGGACGAGGCGGAGGAGGAGGATGAGGAGAACAGCTCTGATAAAATCTAACAACCCTCACCTGGCAGGTGAGAAATAGAGAATAAAACACCAAAAAATGCTAAACCAAAAGCTGGAGACCCCAGATAAAACCTTTTCAGCGCAATATATTCGCAGTTCTCATTGTTGCCAGCTGATGCAACAATTGCAATTTTTCCGATAAAATCTTCAGGCTTGTAACCCGCGAAAAATCTGTGGTTGAGACCTGGTTGTTGCAAAATCAGCCACAAGAAGAAACATTGTTTATGTTTAGGGTGGGCTTTACCCAATTGCCCCAGCTTGCACAATTCAAGGGATGAACGCACAAAAAAATGCATAGATTTGGCACAGACACGGTCCATGGTTTGGATGTAAGCCAGCTCCTGATATGCCTAACAAGCTTGATCAAACAACAAACATACATAGCACAATTTGTTTCAACCCTTCTTTTTTTTGAACGAATTCATCTTACCTCCAGGGAAAAGATCACTAAAAATCATCAAACATGTCCTGTTGAGTTGCATGAATTTTTGGCCGCACAGGGAACAACAACTCCCCACTTTCGATCGCCATACTTGCAAGTTTCAAGTAGAAACTTACGCACCCATCGCAGAGATCTTGAAGGAACATTGCTTGGTCATTCGATAGGTACCGGGGCATCATCTCCACATTGCGATGCCACTCTGCTATATGCCACCTCAGTTTTGTTGATAAACAAACATTATTGGATCACTGGTGATTCTTCATTATAATGGGTGCGCTGAATGAGCATGGTTTTTGGGCAGGCCCATTTTCTGGAATCGAGCAGGTTGTGCACGACATGGGAAACATATGTTCGGATGGATAGGGTGGTGATCAAACCCTGATTAACCAGAACTTGGCTACCTAATAATCATATAAAATATTAATAACAAACTTCCACTCCAAAACATAGAACAAGCCACGTGCAAGAAGCAAGAAGGGGAATCCAGTCATCATCCCTGTATGCACCATTCGCCAAACCCACCACTTCATCACAGAGCCATGCAACAACGCACCTGGCCTCAGCCCAGCAGAGATGACAGGCCCTGGGATGGGAAAGGTGTTTTCTCATGGTGTTCTTGGGCCTGCAGAAAAGTGATAACCTGATGGTACTATACTATACAATTTTAGGCATGATGATCCCCTTCTTGAATATGCGACATGGCTTGGGGTCACATGGTAATTTTGATCCAAGTCACATTCCAAGCCTTGCTCTGTAATTCCGGATATGGATGCTGCTTGCTCTTCAGACGCCAGGGACGAAATCGAGGCATACTATGCCTCAATATGAGAGCAGATCCTTCAAAGAGGAGAACATATGTGTTTATACTTTTTTTGAAGGAAATCACCAAAATCACCGCTTGCATGGGCACTATTTAGGGTAAATTAAGGACATCATTGACATTCTGGACAAGCTACTGTATTTTGTGGGTCCTGCAAAAGCCCTTGAAACAGTCGTATGCAAGGAGAAGGCGGTCCCCTTCATCCATGTCCAGTCCTCCCCACACATCATATTGCAAGAGCTTCCTCATGACAGACCCAGCAATCCACAAGTCAATGCCAAGATTGATTGTATGCATTCCGTCCCAACGAATCATCTCAATTTTGAAGCATGGCAAATTCACCAGTGGACCTGGGCTGCCACATAAAATGGTTTCCCCTTGGATTTCAAAATACGAGATGATTTAACCACTTCAGAAAAAATCGATTGGAAAGGATACAACATGTAGAAACCAAGAGTCTGGTGTGATCACCTCCCTTGCAGGATTCAACCAGAAAAGATTCAGTGGTGTGTCGGAATTGGGCAGCCAATTGCGAGGGTGCAGTAACGTAGGATGGTACTCTGGCTCGGCAAGCATGACATATTTGGTTGGACAAATAATAAGAAGAGAGTTGGAGCCATT